ACGAAGCGAGAAAGATTGATCTGTGGCGAACGAGAGAGAGAGAGAAAGAGAGTGTCGTGGAGAGAAAGCAGAGAAAGCCTGAATGATGGTGGGTGTTAATCGCATAGTGAATATTATTATAGGGTAAATCGACACATTGGCGCCAATATGCTGATGTGCGTTTTTCCTTCTTAATTTTTACTGGATTGTTCATACGACAGTGACGACAACGACAGTGACAAGCCAACCGACGAATAAACGAGAAGAAGAAAAAAAACGCAACTCAGAGCAGACGGTATGAATCAGGCACAAAATATCTAATACACATGCCATATTCCTTGTGACTGCTTGATTCGACGACCGTTTTTGTTTCGTCCATTCGGATAGATCAAAATAAATAAGAAACCGCATCATGCGAATGCTCACAGCATTAAAAAATTATTTATTTCACTTACGGTACGAGCGAGTGCGGAGTCTATTTATGTGAGTGTGTGTGTGTGTGTCAACAGGCGACAAGAATTTATGTGCGTTGACGACAATAAAAGAATGAGGACACACAATCTGAACACGAATTAAATGATACACAAACATGGAGCCAAATGCTTTTTTTCTGTCCCTTTTCTCTTCACAACTCATCTTTTTGAAATGTTGAATGGCACTGGCTTATACTCTAAGACTGTCCAAATGTAATTGACGAAGTATGAAAGTAAAATTGTCAAAACTTTAGCGCCAATGCGATTAACCATTGCTGCCGATGACTTATTACTACAGGTTCAAGGGAAGGCACTGGAACCCATTCGATTTTGAAGCAATTTTCAGCAATTGATAATAAATCTTATGGAATTTGACACGAGTAGGCAAATGTGCAATTCCATGTAGAATTTTGGCAATGACACTGACGAATTATTTGCGTTGAATTGATCTAAAATTGGATTAAATCATATCGCTCGATCTTCATTGCCAATCGAAAAGCATACACATTGAGTGTATGTGTGTGCGAGAGCGAGAACGAACGACAATGCGATACAATGTCCAATCAAAAATCATCGTAGCGAAAAGACAATGGTGATATCACTAGTGCCTTCGTTCGTTCGGAGGCCAGCATTTTCACTCTAATTCGCTGATAATTTTCCACTATGAACACATGAGTGACCAGTTTCCATTGAATTATGATGGTTTGTTATCACGCTAATTTCTCTGGGGTGAAACATTGTTCCGGGAATGGATACCGAATGAAAGAGAGAGAGAGAGAAGAAGAGAAAGGGGAAAAAGATTGAGAGACAATGATATCTCGCTACATATTATCGGATAATTTTCATTTGCAGACACCGGAACAAACACACATATCAATGAAATGAGAATGGACTTTCTTCGCTTTTTCTTCTGCTCTTACTACGCAGTAATGAATTGGTTTTATTTTGTTTTCTTCATCACCGCGAAATGTTCCTGTTTACAAGAGCACGATCCGTCTCTCATTCAGTCGGATTTTAATTACGTCTAATCCATTGAATGTTGTTGCATTTTTGTGTTTGGGTCGCGCGCGCTCACGCGCACTGAATATTCGAGTGAATTTGAAACTTTTTCGTCAAAAATGACTCAAGGGAAGAGGTCAAGTAAGCAGTTCAACTCCCTTGAAATTGATAAAAAATCCTACGCAAATGCTTTGTAGTTTGGTGTCTACTTTTTGTGATGAGTCTTTTTGTTTGGTTAAAAGTCTTGAAAGTCGTCGAGTCCTTTAAATCGAGTTTAATGTCTAAATTCACCTATGTCTCTTTCCGACGGTGATTGCTGAAGATTGGCACGGCGCATTTTCATTGAAGATAACTTCAAATCGATGCTTTGAAACATTGTATGGCATCTTTTATATCAAAAATCGAATTTCAGACAGAATGTTCAAAGGCTGCAAAAAGTTCAACAGAAGAAAAAAAAAATTACCGCTCTCAATTAATTTCAATTTCTCTGCTCGAAGCGTATCGGTCGTGTGCTCAAATTGTCGTGTTAGCTCTTGGAAGTGTTTGTTGGTTCATCGCTTTCAACTGAATTGGCCGCTAATAGCGAATCGCTCCCATCCATTTGATGTTGACTTTTTTTTCTACGCTGTTGCTCGTGATATTGCCTACCTTTTGCGCGGACCGGAGTTTTATGAAGCAAGCAGAAAAAAGGTTAAACATTCACTGAACATTCATCAGCTCTTGGTACAACACTGTGTTTGTATATATTAAAATGAGAGAGAGAGAGCTGCTTAGCCGTTTGCAGAAGTGACCTGCTTACTCGATGCCTCACGCTTTAGAGCACAAACAAATTAAACAAACTTCGCTTGCCACCAGCTGCATTCAATCTAACGGTGTGCTGCTATTCATTGTGGTGACTTGATACAGTTTCGAGTGTGTGAGTGATTCACTGAGTGTGTTTGGTTCCGTGTTCGTGCAAACAAAAATCAAACATCAAACAGCCCATCGTAGCGAGAAAAAAAATGACAAACGTTAATTGAGCAATTTATTTTTCGTTAGTAACTTTATTGATGGTTCGTTTGCCATTTTACATATTCGAAATATGCCGACGACTATTCTGCTTAGCGAAAGTTCAGCAATAATTCACCACTTGAAGCAATCGACAAACAATCAACCGAAAGAAAAGACGAGATGAAAGAGAGAAAAAAAACCACCCCCATACTGAAAGACTTTGGTTATAGTTGAACTGTAAGGATAACGGTAACCTTAGCTACAACGCTGAAAATAAACAAGAGAGAGAGAGAGAGAGAGTAAAAAGAAGTAAACGATATAGATTAGACACTTCCTTTGGGGCCGCCATTGGCAACGTGCGCTCGCGTTCAATGAAATATTTACAAAAGCAACGCTCTTCACGACGCCTTCATTGTAATTTTTGCAACTTTTCTCCATACATTTCGAGAAACTGCGATGCGATTTTTTGCCGTACGTGGGAAAATTATAGCTGTACTTCAAAACATCTTAAATTATACTAAAGGTTAACAAGTTTGAGATTTCAGTGAATTTACGATTTTTTTTCCAATGATACCTACAAAAAAGAGGGTATTTTCGGTTGGAAGGTTTGTGAGATTTCGTAGTAAAATTGCAATTATGCTATTAAATTAAATTGTTACCAAAATTAAAACTATGTGGTCAAACCTTGAGTCAAGTAGTCATAAAAGAATGTTTCGATTTTACTTCTCCCACCACTTGAATGTATACTCAAAAACCGCAACTATTCATTGCAGAATTATCTACCGTTTTCTTTAAATTGAAGAGCGCTCTTGAAATCTCGTACGCTCATAAATAACACATCTCATCAAAGCGATCGCTTTATTCGTTGTCACGTTCAAAGTTGTTGTTATTTCAATTATTGAATTGAGTGCGATACGGTAACGGTATTAAGTTTTACCTCAAGCGATGCACTTAAAAAATTTGCTTAAGCTCTGCTATCCGAACGAGACGAGACGAGTTTCAGTTTGCTCCTATAGTGTGCACAAAAGCCAGCGAGTCAAAGTCAACAGGTTGCCTATCACATTATATGTCTCTGTTTGATGATGCGCGCAACCAAATCCACAGCATTTGAGTTAGTGCGAACGAGAATGAGATCGGGTATGAGAGAGATACAGCACACAGCCAATGTTACACGTTCAATATAGTTTGGTGAATATCCCATTCACCGCAATCACTTCCGATGACAACGACGTGGTTTAACGCTGACTGACTTCGCTTCCCTCGTTGTTAGTGTCAGTTGTGTAATTCATATCACTGACAATTTATGGTTAAACCATTTACACCATAAACCAAAATGTTTGAATTTCAGCACACGTGCAGTCCGTTGATTAAATGGCCGAAATATTGGTTTTTCTTTCCTTCATCGATATTTTCATTTCACATTTTTTCTTTATCAATATAAACAAAGTTCAGAAGCATAAATGGAGTTATCTTGATTTTAATACCAACAACTGAGGCACAAACATTCAAATAATTATTCTATCAGTAATCAGAAATGTGTTGAAATTTATGCTGTCATAAAATACCAAACTGATGTAAGCCGTTATTACAATGTATGGCTTGATATCGAAACCGAAATGCTAACCGTATACATGACATTAAATGCCAAAATGGTGATAATTTTCATGTGTAACTGCAATGCTGTCATGGCATTGATTTTTGGTGCTTCATTTGCGATTGAATTTGTGGTAAACAATTGGTGTGAGCAATAAGAGGAGGCGGGAGTGTGGCGTATTCATAATGCAAATCACATTCACCTATAGCGGATAAATTTAAACGTTTTCCTCTATTGATGTGCATTGATTCGATTTGCCTGCGGCTTTTCAAAATATATATACCGTTCGATTAACGGAGACATCATTTGCATTGATTCGCTGTGTTAGGCATCAAACAAAAGCCGTGGCAACCAACATGGAAATTCGAAACAACAATACGATGTTTTGTTTACAAACAAAAACAGCCAACTGTCAAATTTTGTGGGTGCTAAAATTTACGGCATACATTTTAGCATATTTCTATAAATACACTGAAACCGGTTCGAGTTCCAGCATGATCTGAATTTGTAAGTAATAGGGCACGCGTGATGAAAGTGTAACCCAATGAATAATACACTTTGAATATTCTGCAATTATGACTACAAATTAAAATCTATAAGACACGTATAAGTTGTTGAAAGTTCACACTTTTGATAAATGCATAGCTGTCGACGTGGCATACTTAGGTAACATTGAGAAGCCATTCGAAGTACGCGTGTCAAAGAGAACAGTACTTCGAACTTGAATGCAAATGTGAAGAGCAAAGTCATGCGCGGAAAATTTCAACTGGTTAATTCTTGGAAATTAATTGAATAACTACATTCCTCATTCAAAGAGGACTTTATACGATTTGATATAGTTGAACCGAAAATGGGTTGATGAAATAAATTAGTTGGAACACGTTTCAGATTGTAATGATTCTTAAAATAAAAAAATTTATTTAATACATTGAATTCATTGTTATTCTTCTGATTTGTCATTGCAGCTGTTCGTTGAACGAGTTATAGCAATATTATTGCTGGCAATTGTGGAGTAAAGTTTGCCGAAGTTGGAATAAGAAGTCATTGATTTTCTATTTGCGGTGGCAGGATGACAATGCAATTGCATTAAAATTCAACGGAAAACCAGTGAACAATTAATGTTTGATTGAAGAATTTAAAAAAAAAAGAAGCGATAACGGGAAAATAACAGAACTCTTGAAAATTTCTCTGGCTCTCGTCAAAATTGCGCGACAAACTTTCTTTAATTGAACAAACAAAAGTAATTGTGAGTGAAGTGAAAATGCGATCTGAATTGACCGAAGAACCGACCCATTCAGCATCGAATCGTCATCAAAATCAATTTGTCGAAGACATTGGTCAATCGGTGGCCAATGCACTGTTCGGTTACACCAATGCCAATGAGAAACAAACAACGCCCAACGAAGAAGAAACCGGCTCAATGAGACCGAAACGTAGCGCCAAAAAAGTACAACAGGTTTTTTTTTTCTTTCTGCATATTTTTTTCCATGAAGAAGATCAATTTGTTTTCCATCATCCAAACGAAATACTAATGAATTTTGATTTACCGTGTGCAGCAGCAAGTGCAACTATTCGATCCAGAGATGACTGACTCAAGTTCACAAAGTGATGACACAAGTGGCTGCGGTGGTACGACAACAACACGAACATCACGCGGACGAAGTGCAACCAATTCACGACGGCGAAAAGGCCAACTAAATGCTAAGGAACGCAATTTGCGACGCTTGGAATCCAATGAACGTGAACGCATGCGAATGCACAGTTTGAACGACGCTTATGAGGTATGTTTATATACGCCTTATCAGGTATGACAATTATAATTGATTACACAACTCATCGGATTAATAATGATCATCGGCGATTCAACAAAGTTCTTAACTTGTCTCTCTCTCTCTCTCTCTTGCTGGGTTTATGTGTTTGTTTTTGCCTTTTAATTCGTCAACCAACTTTAAAATTGACGAATATTTGCTCGGCGACAAAGTTTTACACAATTCATTTCATTAACTTTTCGATGTTTCTCTTTTTCTTCCTTTCTCTCTCTCTCTCTCTCTTTCCTGTGCATTTTATCCCATCCATCTTCCCTGCGATTTTCAGTCATTGCGTGAGGTGATTCCGCACGTGAAAAAAGAGCGTCGTCTGTCAAAAATCGAGACACTTACATTGGCCAAAAACTATATAACCGCTCTAACGGACATAATTGTGCTAATGCGCGGCGAAAATGGGATCAATGGCAATGGTCTCAGTTCGACTTCAATTAGTTGTGATTTCATTGAAACGAATGCAGCCAACGACATTGACGATATTGATACACTGAAAAGTGACTGCTTCGATGAAACATTTCCGGATTTACTTAATTAAACAAGTTCGATGACAATAATAACAGCATCACCACCAGCAGCAGCAGAACCAGTGCAAAAGCATCAAGTGTTCGCTTCATCAAAACAACAACAACAATAACAAACACAGAACAAACAAATCTAAAAAGAAAACAAACAGATTAAATGTAATCAAGGTAATAATTACTCGTCTCTTTTCATTCTTTTTTCGGGATTGATCAGTAAGACAAGAGGGAAAAAATGATTTGAGATGAGCTCCAGTCAAGTCGTTGAAAGTTAACGATGACGACGAACAACGTCTTTCGTACTTTTTATAAAATACCAATTGACTGAAGATGATTGTGTTGTTTTTTTAACGGTAAAAAAAAAGTTTCAACCAAAATGAGCTTGAGAAAATGATTATGAGTTTTGGTTTTTAATTTTTCAATTGTTCTTGATGTAGCAATGATTAAGTACGATTTAATGCGATTTAATTGAGAAATGTGAACCAGTTTGAACAGGAGAACAAACAAATTTGTGCAATTACATAATTTCAATTAGGTTTTTTTGTTGATTTTTTTTTTTACATGACACACCAAATTGATGTCGTATGTGTTCATATGCTCTTTCCATTAACAACTAACATAAATAGACACACACATATACCGGCATGCGGATGAAACATACATTTTTTTGTTCTTCTAAAAATAGACATTTTTACAGCAATCACTCATCAGATGATGATGAGTGGGTGCACGATCCCACTGTTATTATTATCATCATATAAATAAATATCAATTTACAAACACTTTCGTGTGTATGTTTGTGTGTGTGTATGTGTGTGTGTGGGTCTACAGTAAATAAAAAAAGGAAACGAAGATGAAGAAAAATACATACAACCAAACAGAAAGAGAGGAAATGATGAACGAATAAAGGAAAAAAAACACAGCAAATAGATTCTTGGATCACGCTAAAGGTCTGCACACCGAATGAATATATTCATATTAATTCAGCTGTATTGTAATATAATATTATACATATATGCATAAACTAAAATATGATAAATTAGATACGTAAATATATTTATAACTGGATGTGGTGTTACAGGATGTGTTCGTGAAAATGATGGAAGTGGTAGAGGCGAGGTGTTAGTGAAGGCAGGAAAAAATGGAAAAGCGGAAGAAGAAGGAAAGGAGATAAATTTGTACATTTATTATTTCAATGAGTCAAGTCAAACTAGTCACTATGGTTTAAAGAAGAAAAAAAAAACCAGAAAAAAATGAAGAAAAAAATATGAAAAATCTCATTGTGATGAGATCATAAGAGAGCTAAATATATATTAGGAAGAGAGTTGTTGATTGATTGGGAATTTTAAAAGATATATGGCTGTAATTTTATGTAAGAAAGGGAGATTTAATCAGTGAATTAGTAGTTGTATTCGACCTTAAATCAAATTGGAGCAAAAGCCACATAAACACACGTACACGCATGCGAAAAGGGATTTTTTTCTTCTCTCTCTCTCAACAAACTCTATATCTATTAATATTTACTATACTATACTACAAACTACATATAAATGTACATGAAAAAAGCCTGCAGTTTTCTATATTTCACAGTACAAATATCGTAAAAAACGACGATGACGATGACGAGAAATCTAAACAATACACCCCGCAGCATTTAATGGCATGGCTTTATGTCCCTTATTCGCTGCTCGATGAAAAATTCCATTATAGTTTGTAATGTTGTTGCTCAATTAGATTGTATGTGTTGTATGTGTGTTTACATTCCCTTGTATATTTCATTCAATTTTTTTGCCTTTCGTTCATTTGTTCGTGTTGGTTGTGTTGACGCGCTCACACTCATGTTTTCGTTTTATTTTTTGGCATTTCCCAGTAGGCCGACAGCAATATCAATCTGTTTCGAATATATGATTTTATTATAAGTTACATTTAATTTCATATAATATAAATTAATAAATGTTGTGTAACCGCCACGAGGGGAAGACACATTCATTTAACGTATTGTTGTGGATAATACACACAGTTAATGCGCCGTGTGATGATGATGATGATGCCAAGAGATGAATGGGTTTTTGTTTGAAACGCGTAGGAATTTATTGTTGATCGAAATGACGTCGGCGAAAGCGGTAAAATGAAAAGCAGCAGTGGCGGCAGCGGAAGCAGCCAAAGAGGCTGGAGAGGGAAAACGGTGAATAAATCTAAAGTGACTCCGAGAATCAGCTAAATATGTGAGCGATATCTCTAATGAAATTCATGAAGAGCATTCCTTTATGCAATACTTCAAGCCCGTTTCTTTCTTTGCCTTCGCTCTATCTTTCTCTCTCTCTCTCTCTCTCTCGCTTTCATTCCTTATCTCTTCTACGGTTCATTCATTAATATGTCAATGCCGTGCGCGCGCTGTGTTGACATCCATTAGAATTTCATACCTTTTTGGTAGCGACCAGCACGGAGCAATGCATGAGCATCTATCATCAACAATCAAATGATGTGACCCATTGTTTAAGCCAAACAATCAGCGAACACAAGGCAGAGAAAATACAGAAAAGATCGATAATGGCATTCAACAGGCTTTTATGTGCGAATAATGGAGAACAAGTGCCGTTTTCACATGTACACTAATACATGACTTTCATTCTCTATCTTGCTCCCTCTCTCTCGCTCTCGCTTTTGCTCGGTTTCAATTACAAAAGGCCAAAAATATACACTTGACTTTGTGAATTATGAAGCATTCATTGGCGGCGGTGGCACCAGCAACAACAGAAGCAGCCACGTTGGTGGCGACGTGGTTGAGTGCAAATGCGGGGCACGGAACATGTTATCTCTCATCTATGCCATGAGTACAACTAAATACTAAACGGAAGTGATCTGTAAATAAGCAAATGATTTTTTATAAACGTTAGATAAACTTCGGTGGTGGTGGCGGGTGATGGCGGTAGTGATGTGTGTACATTGGAAGGCGTATGTATCGCGCTTGAGTACATTTTATCTTCTGACTCTTAAGAGATGATCAGATCACAACAGATCAAAAGAACACTTTGCGATGTTACGTCACTGACAAAACAACAATGCACAACGACGACAACGGCATAAGGATAAAAGGCTATTTCAGCTGAAGAAGAAGAAGAAGAAGAAGATAAACTGTGATGATAAACAATGGCCGGTGAAAAAGCGAGCGAGAAGCCGATTCATATTACGCCTACTGCCTCATCAAAACTTCTATTTCAAATAATAAATGCTAAATCGAATTTCTGCATTAGACACATCGCATCAGACAAAGAGCTAAATTGGATATTCAGTTGCTCCTAAGAAAAAAAATGTAGGAAAAAAAAACACAAATAATTTTTGTCGATTTTTGCTCATCGAACATGAAACGACAATGGCATTTAATCCGCCTTGACTCTGGTTTTTCTAATACATTAAGCTCGAGCGGACAAGAAAAAAAGCGAACTGATCACACAAATACAAACACAATACATACTACCTCGAAATAATGGTGTGCTACGACGACACGGATGTTAAATTCGTTTGCAATATTCATGGTGTAGCACACACACAGTGCACGCTTGTGTGTCTACATCGATTCAGTTTTCCTATAGACGAACTAATTTTCTGTTGAAAAGAATAACAAAAATAAATTGAACCAAACAACAGCCACTTTTTGCTCGTTTGGCATTTTGCACTGGGTGTGTATGTGTGTGGATCGTCGGAAAAATAATGAAATTTTCCATTGAAACTAAACGAACTAATAGCGTTGCAGATAGCAACGTTTGTTGTGTTTCAAGCTCAAGTGTGTTCAATGTTCATGTTGAGCAAAAGACTCCATTTATTCATATGATATTGTTTCAAGTCATTGTAGACAAGAAGAAAAAAATGAAAGAGAACAAGCGAGCGAGGGAGAGAGAGAGAGAGAGAGAGAGTAAAAGAGTGAAAAAAAAGTATTGCCAGCTTAATGCTACCCGGCGATAGATGTGTGTGTGTGTGTGTGCTTTTTTGCTTCTTTGCTCTCCGTCGTACTATGAATTACAAACGTAATTACATCTCAAGTAAAGTAACAGAGTTCGGCTTTTATGAACTTATTCTGTAGTTTTTTTTTTCTCTAGCTTTGTCTTCTGTTGTGCCAAACACGCGCTCACATTCTCAACGAATAGTTTATCACTAAAGTGGCTGCGAAACGCTTTGAATTCCCGTCATGACAGCGACGAAAGAGTCAATGGATGGATTTTCTTTCAGCACAATATACATATATACGTCTGTAATAAATACTTCACGCATTTATGAATGAAATATATCCACAATTGATGTTGATAACCGCATCGTGTGGTCTCTCTCTCTCTCTCTCTTTATATGCAGAACAACAAAAACTCTGTCCATCGACAAACCCAGAAAAAAAGATGAGAAACGTTTTTGTATCAAAATCCAGAAGAGATACGCGTTTAGAACAACAACAGCATTGAAATTAATGGCAAAACAGAGGAAACGACCATTGTGTGGCTAATGGTTGGCTATTCACATTATTTTTTTTTTGTTTCTGTTGTTAAAATCGTTCAATTAGCAAATAGTTACAGTTGTATTTAAAAAAAAAATCAATTTCTTCCAGCTTGTTATCTGATTTGCCAACGCAATCGACGGTTTAATTAAAACTTACAGTTGGCATATTCATTCAATTAGCGACAAATTTATTAATTATTCTCTCGTTGTATTTGTGTTATGTGTCTGTGTGATTGTATACCGAAGCGGCCACCCATGTTCGTATCATATAAGCAAGATATGTGCATGCACATTGCAGTTAAGTGACTCTCTTTCCCTCTGTGTGCATGTGTATTTTCACCATTTTCTGCTTTGCACAACAAAGTTTCGGAAATGAAGTGGCGAGAGCGCGTGGGTGCGCTTACACTTTATTAAAAAAAAATACGTTGACGATTCTTGTGTTTTTTTTGTTTGTTTCTATTTGTTCGTTTTTCGTATGGAACTGAGTGTGAGCTGCTGAGAAGGTGAAGCAGGAAATAGTTGTCGGCGTATAAAGGGGGATATAAACACCGAAATTGCGTCGAATTATGCCAAACGAGTTTTATAAACTAGCGTGCAAATAGCACAACAATTATTTCACATGGAAAAATGCATACACAAGTGTTTCCCCATCAAAAATATTTAGTTCAAAGTTCATTGTTTTCCCCGTTTCTCACTCTCCCCATTGTACTCTCTTTCTTCCAATTTATGTGAGAAATATATGAAAAACTGTTTCATTGTTGCATGCATCTCTATTCACAACTAAATACCAAGTTAAGTTTATAAAACACACTCTAGATTTATTGAAAGGAATAAAAACGAGAGCTGCTGGAATATTACACGTGATAAACATTTGAATGGAACAAATAAATTGTGGAAATGTGTTATGATGATAAAATTACCCCAAAAAAAAAAACTACTACTACATTTTAATTCATCGATGTGCTAGCGCTTTAATGTTTATGTGGTTTCTAACATCTAAGCGAATCAAGTGTGCGTGCGTGCGTGCATGTGTGCATGTGTGTGTGTGTGTGTGTGTGTGTATGCAATGGGGTAAATAAAAACTGACATGAGCTATAAACTGACAGAAATCCATGCAAAACCATTTTCTATATTATGATACTTTGTGTTGCGAATACAAGCATCAATTTTACATTTTAGTTCTTTGGGTTTCGTCGGAATTGATTTAAGCATCCTTTTAAGTTCATGGCAATTGGTTCATTAGTTTAGTTTAATTTTAAAGCTTCTTGGTTATTCACAGTGTAACACCTCAATTTCGCCGGGAAAACTTTCCACGTGAAATATTCAAGCATGTAATTCATTGTATTTACGATTTAGTACCAAGAAACAAGAAATATCAAAATGTATTTCACGCATGTGTGTGTAGTCAGTACACACGGAGTAGGGTAAGGATTAATATGAAAATTGCGTTGATCTCAATTTTTTTTTGCTCTTCTCGTCGACAACTTCTAACTCTATACATTTTGACCTAAAAACATTGCGACTGCAGATGAAGTAGACTTGCAATATCCAGGAATCGATTGGAATTTGACTTCGGCTTTTTAAAGTGGAAATTTAATGAAACTTGTTCGTTTTTTTATTTACATCAGGGAAAACTATTTACTTCTCGCGGCGATACAGATTGGGGCTTTTTCAAAAAAAATTGCAAATCGTCTATAACCAGGCCTTGAGTTGATAACCGATATTGTATGCTATCAGTGTCGGCGCGGGGTTCCGGTGTAATGAAAGATATCGGTCTATGTGGAGTGTAAATTCTTTATTAGTCGAGCAAAACGATTTTGTTTCATTTTTAGACGTTTTTTCAAGCAGTATAATAAAATAGTTTTCCCTGATTTACGTAAAAAAAATAAGAACTTTACATTCATTTCATTTGGTATCGAAACACGGTTTCATCTTTCATGTGGAACGATTTATTCGAGCATCCTTCCAAGTTTTCCGCTTTCGAACCACATTTTTGCTGAAGCTAAACAAGTTGTTGAACGTTTACTTCAAAACTCAAGACATAAAATTTCCACTGTTTGCGATAAGTGCATGTCCATAAAAACCGCAAACAGCTGATTATCGCATGCAACAATGCTCGAAATTCTGGAAAACTTTCCCACTTTCACTGCGATGAAGCAGAAGAATTCTCGTTGAACAACATACACAAACACGGGACAAAAAAAGTTCATTTTGTAAGTAAGCAACCAAATCAATAAATTTGTGACAGTTTCATCTGGTGTTGTTAATGAAAATCCAAATATTGATGATCGATTATGCAAGTTTATTTCTTTAAAAAACCGATGAAAAATGTTGAACGTCTCCCTAGTGAAAACGACAGAAAATCCCAATGTTGCACAGTTTTTGAAATCCCGACCCGTTGAAAAAAAAAACAAATTCGATACTGTTGTGCGATAAATGGTTGCGCAACAAACATTTTACAGTTCTTTTGACAACCACAAATGTGTTTCTCTTGTCATTTCTCGAGATCTTACCCACTTAGCGTGGCAACTCTTCGTTGTTTCTCTATTTTTT